CACCCCCACCCCCCCACCCCCAGCACCCCCCCCCCCCCCCCCCCCCCCCCCCCCCCCCCCGCCGGCCCGCGCCCGGCGGGGCGGCGGGGGGCCGGCGGGGTTATTATAATCGATCTGTCTTTTCTTGTACTCCATCAACAAAATGTGTTTAAATTTGGCATGCCTCTACTGTGTCATACATGAGTCTGTCATGTAAGCTTTTATTTCAAATGAAACTTGTTCTTTTTCGTATCTTTTTACTTTATTTCGGTGTTGTATTAACATAAGCTAGTCTCCCTTTATAACAGCCATGCTTGAAAAAATAAAAATTCAATTCAATTTGAGATCATTTAATCTAATCATTTTTGAACTACGAATGTGTTTTTCTCCATTCTTTATTAAAAAGAATATGGATAACAAAACAAACAACTGAAAAAATATAAAAGTGAAAATATCACCGACAATGCTTCATTTCTTACTACTGGCATAATTGTATATCTTCCAGTTGTCGTGCAACTAAATATTGTTGCTCACAATCTCCCACTATGCACATATTTTGAACACCTTCACTTTTTACTTGTTCAATTAAAACTCCTTTTTCATTAAACAAGTATATCTGACCAAATTGGACAACTATCCATTGGAGATTTTTATCTAATGATACCAAATATATCTGAGATAAATTTTCCTTTCGTGACAAAACTCGATCGATTTCGTTCACGCCACAATATAGACGTTTAAGATCATAATCAAATAAATCAACGCGCCTAGAATAAATAGATGAATGTTTGAGAAATTGTATCAAATGATTTTTTTTCTTTATTACGTACCATGTTTCATCTTCAGGTACATATATCAGCAAAGCTATAATCGGAATAAGCGAGTTATATCACAAAAAAGAAGACAAAATGAGGTCTTACCTAAACATGTATCATTTGCTCTTATTTTTAAGACATTTTCATATGAGAAATTGTCTTTTTGTATTTCTTCCCATCGTTTAACTAAATTATATGATGGACGTTTAAGTGAATAACGTTCTATTTTTGTTGAATAAACCAGAAACAAATCATCCTGATTCGTTGTTGTACATGACTGAAATTGTTCACCTTTAAAACATTGTATTTTTTGTCTGTGATCGATAATGTTCGGTATTCGTGGATCATATTCATAGAGAAAACTGAGTGTTAATATATGAAAACGATTTAAAGTACGAGACCAACAGATATCTTTGAATGGGCCATGTATCCATTTTATCCTATAAACGGGACCTGCAGGAAGTACAAAGAGAATTAATTTACGATCAGAATCGCCATTGTTAACTTCAACTAGAATAAAATGATCCATTAACGACAACCTATTACCAGAACTAAAATGACAATAGACATCATTATACACGAGCTAGAACAGCCTGTTATATTTTTATTAGTATAATCTTTGAAAATTTCTCACGTAACCCCAGTTCGACAATGATGAGGGCATGAAATTTGGGCAGAGTTTGTTTAACAGCAAAACGTTGAATACCCATTGACATATCTATAGATATTCATCTGAATACTGAATATTTATTATCCTATACAACTGCTATGACTGATATGATCTATATAAGTCTTATAACGGCCATAACAGTCAAAAATAGTAAAAATCAAAAGACCATGAAAGATATCAAAGACATAGAAGTTAAAAGGTGATAAAAGACTTGAAGTCATGCAACTTGAAAAGTTATATGCATCAAGCGCAGCCAAAAAAGCTAAATTATACATATATTTTACTAACCATATTCGTCATAACAGCCATCAATTATTCTTTCATAAAAGATACATATTTTTTCATTAAACTGCTTTGATCTGAGACAAACTATATTCAAACTTCATGCTCTGATAATGATATAAAAGTTACAAATAAATTGTATGAACAATGGAGGCTAACGAGACGATGGTCAACGTCACTCGTAGTACTATTAGTTCAAATTTCTTTAGCGACCACATGCTTAAGTCTGCTTAAACAAAACATCACACAAAACATCGACACAATGTTAAACAATAACACCTATAATAATTTGGACTTTTTTTCAGTATGAGATCACGCAATGTCTATTCAGGTGAGATTGTTCATCGAGAAAATATAAACATTCAATTGTGTTATGCAGCTTTTAGGTGCCTTATCGATTCTTGTAGAAAAAACTGTCAATATCTTTTTACTCACACTGCGTATGATGTCGCTGCCAAATTTGCTCCATTTACGGTTTTTTCACATTTAAAGTGTTGAATGGGTTTCCTTTGTACCAAATCTATCGTGCTCATCTTATTTTTCTCTTTTTTCTGTACATGGACTATTGCGGTAGTGTTTGTTTTTGAATCTTTTTGTCGTGTATTTGTCTCAACTGTTTCTTCCTTTGCTGTCATGGATAACTGTTGTTGATAGTCATATAATTTTACTTTTAAATTTTCAACATTTTCGATTAATTGTCGTAGTTGTTTACTATCATCCGGTTCATGTTCTAGTATTTTCATTAATTTTTGACGAATATCAGCAGAATTATTGCGATATTCTTTTAATTCTCGAATTATTTCGTTTAATTCTTGTTGTCGAGAATCAAGACGACGATCAGCTAAAAACAACATAAAATTTTTCTAATATTTGATGTACAACTAATATTTAGAAATTCCAAATAAATTACCCATTTTTAATTTATCAAATGTATCTAAATAATCAACTAAACCTAATAATTCGGTTGTAACACGATTGATAACCGTTTGATGAGTATGAGGATAACATTCAGCTACCTTGTTAGTGATCGTATCATCGATCACATTAACTGAATCATGAATACCAGAATAAGCGTTATTATAGACTTTGGAGCAATCATTCGGTGATTGATAATGCACAGTCATTTTGCCTAAAGAGAAAAACTTACAATATAATCACTTGATTTATTTTTGTCTTCTGCTGTTTGTTCAAAACTTTTTTCGACACTACCTACATTTCATTCTTACTGGTGAATGTTCATGCGTTTGCAGATGTAATTTACAAAACCATTTGAGACATATTTTACACTGTGAATTTTGTTCACTGGTACATACGAGTCTATCATCATTAATAAAAGCACAATGTTGCACTCTTTTACATAATGAATATTTTGATGTTCGATTTGAAGATCGTGGTGACACCGATTGTTGCCTGTTAATTACCGTTTGTCTATCAAATCTTTGACATGTATCCACTGTTTGACATCTGTTGACTGATCGTTGTTGTGTATTACTGGGTTTATCTGACTCACAATTTTCAGGTACAGAGGACGACAATTTTGTAGCACTTCGTGAACGAGATCTAAATTTAGTTTTTCGAAATAATTTTTTAAGTAATGTAGACATTATCAAAATATCATTCTTGAACAGAAAATAAATATAATTGAAACATAAACTAGTTGTAGTAATTTGTATTTAAACATATTTAGATAGTTTGTCTTCAAAGTGAAAAAAGACATTATTTTTTATTAAATACTTCTGATGTTGAAGTATGTTTTTTGATTAAGTTTTTGATTAATGCTCCTTTGATTTGTCTACTACTGCCTTTCTTTTATTCAAGATAAAAACAAGTACGACGAAACAACATCATTTTCCAAAATAAAGAGAATATAGATCTATATAAAGAAAAAATTGATTAATTACATAAATCAAAAAATAAAGTCAAGGATCTGCGCATGAAATCATATTACAAGATAAAATAAAAATAAAAATAAATTAATTACCAAAGATTAAAATCCACTATAATTTAATAACCGATGGCATCATGAAGGAATATAAATTGGTAGAGCAAGCTACTAAAGCGTTTCTATGTGACTATAGGGAAAAAACAGTGAGAAACGCCAATTACTTTAAGCTTACTGTACTTTCGCTTCAAGATCACCACCTGATATTTAGTACATTTCTTCTAATGGTAACATTCTCAAAACGCATTTCTGTAAACATGACTAGCTGTTCTTAGCTGGGTATAAATCGATGATACACTGATAAAAAGGAATGTTTAAGGAATATTTTAGAAAGTCTTCCATTTTACACAGGAATGACGGAGTCAAAAGTTGTGACATGTTCATAAAACTAATAACAAAAAGTTGGTTGAAAACACTTAATTTTTCAAAAATATAAAGCTTTATACAAATAACAGAAAAAGTGTCTTTTTTATTAAAACTCTAAAATTTGTATGTATTCTCTATGATTGCGATGACATAAATGTTTGATCATCTGTATCTCTAAATCGAATTCCTGCTTGTTCATCCTGATCTTGTTGTATTGGTGGAGCAGGACCATAATTATTTAAACGATCGGTTGAAACCATTTTATCTCTATTACACATCAACTGACTGGCACTAAATAAAAAATCGTGATGAACTGATAATCTGAACTCTGATGGTCAATATTATGTTGTTAAGAAGTATTACAGTTTACTCGTTGTTTAAACTGTATTCTTACGTGAATATAAGAGTTACAATGTATAAAAATGCTGCTATCCAACAATTATATGCTTGTTGATTGTAACTTGTGTGAATTATCTTTGATAGCTCTTTATCTGTGCTATGTTTCGCCATTGTTTCATTGAACGTAATTTCATCTACGAATGGTCCAGCTTCAACATAGAAGAATACTCCCATTAATAAAAGTTGAATAATTCCCCAAATAGCAATGACCGAACAACATATTGACAATTTTGGGCCGCACACAGGGCAATGACGAACCATTTTTCGACAATAGAAAATAAATTATAAAGAAATAAAAACGAAAAACGAAGATCTGAAACAGAAATAACAAGATAACGTAGTCATTCAAAAACAAAATATAAAAATTTATCATCTAGCAAAAGATAAATTACTACATCTAAACAGAGTTCACCTATGTCAGTTAAAATCACGACGTTTTGAATAAAATGAAATGAAGAAAATGGATCACAGACTGGAAAAATAAGTTGCTCACAATGTTATTCTATGCTCTTCTTTTGAAAATAAGTACCTACTAACCAACAAAGAAAAACCATCGCATATGAACTTTACAGTCGCATACGTGGAACTGTTCTTATAAATCATTATCTTTCAACTCATTATTAATGCGGCACTTTCACTCATGAATGATATTTTAGTATTGTCAACACATGTTTTTACTACTATTGATTTTCTCTTTTCCCTTTTTGAGAAATACTACCGCTATCGGCTCAATTTAAGATATAACGTCAGTCGCCGGGAAAATATCATTTCTTGACACATATACCAGTTTAGAAACGAATTTGAAGCCAGAAGTCATTAACAATCTGTAGTCATCTTTAAAATTCAGAAAAAACTGTTTATATCATAAGATAAATAAAGAAAACACATTATTAAAACAACGTTTATTATTTTTCATTCATTCATTCATAATACTCATGGCAAAATTATTCAGAAGCACTCATTCAACTTCTATTTTGCATATTAAAAAATAGAGCAGGTGGGATGACAAGCATAAAAAACATCATATAATTAATTCGAAACAATGGTCCATACTACAAAGAAAAAATACACAATTCACCAGGCAAAAATAAACAAAAACAATGAGATTCGACAAAGAATAACATAAAAAAGCACATTATTATCTGACAACAACAACAAAAACTGTTCCAAGAAGGAAAAAAACTGAGTAAAATTTATTTTAATAAGAAGTAGATGGTAAGAATGCAAAAAGCAAATCGATTGGTTGGACGGAATATAGAAACATACAAAGTAAAATGATTCATTATTAGCGTACATCGAAATCAGAAAAATAAAAATAAATGACAAATGAATCACTTTAATAGAAATAAATCATTGAGTACATTTCAGATCTAAAAGTAACAAAAACTTTGTAATAAAAGGTCAATTATTTAGGATTACATCTCTCTTCAGCGGATTTTATTAGTTCAACTGGCGGCAAGTGCATAATCACCAAAAGTTAAGATTATGAACTAAGTCATCGTCATATAGTAAGAGTTCCTCACTTTTCTCAAGATTCAAAGATAAAGTAAAGCTGCTTATCTTCAAAACTAGAAACATATCGAGTTTATTATTATACATACCACTTCATCATCTTCTTCTTCTTGTTCGCTTCTAACAGTTTTGTCTAACAGTAGAATACAATTAAGTGCGTGTATACGTTTTCTAGCTGGCTGAAAATCGGATTTCAGCTCCAACGTTGATTCATACCATTTTAATGCTGGTATAAATTTTTGTTTTTTCGCTAAAATATTTCCAATTGAAAAATGAACTAACAACATCTTTTTATCAAATTTTAATGCTTCGTAAAGAATGTATAATGCTTCATTTAAATATAATTGGCTATTGTAATAAACGTGAGCAATAGATACCAGTGATAAATCTTTGACATTTTGAGGAGATAACTCATACGATTGTAATAAACAATCGATAGCTGCTTGACCATTACCTAAAATATCAGAAAATATATAATTATCTTTCAGAAATATTCTTAGCCTTATTTATCCTTACCTTGTATTCTCCAGTAAAGACTAACAATATTGTATAATAACCATGATGAATTGGATTGAACAGTTTTATGTTCTTGTTGCACAGCTTTATACAAATATTTTGACGTTTCATTCCATGTATATTTGTGAGATTGTTGACTACCATACATTGCTGATAACAGAATGTGCTTCAAAACTGGTTCAGAGTGAAATTGTGTTAAATTTTGACTATTATCAAAAATATATTCCAATGTTGTACTATTATTTGATTTTAATTTTTTAAATGGAGAACAGTAAGGCACATATTGTGGTATGGATGTTAGAGATGATGGTGGTTGTATTTTCAACAGTTGTTTGAGATAAGTAGTCATTTGTATTCCTTTCGTTTGTGGTGATATCCATGCTGATAGATATTGATTGAATTGCGATAAAATCAAATTGTCCGTATCAAATTGTTTTAAACATTCTCCAACAGTTACACTATGTTGTTCATTATTTTCAGTTTTATTCAATAAATATTTGTATTGAAGTGAATAGGATAAAAGATAATCATCGGTTAATTCATATGGAACAGATGGAGGAAGTGATGTAGTAACGATGGTGGTCGAATCTGGAATAAAGAAAAACGATGTTTAAATTGAATTACTCTAGTAACAGTGTGCTTCAATTGATTAAGAGATTAAAAATAGAGTTTCTTACTTTCTCTTTGATCCATGGGTTCAACAATCGATTCCTTCGATATTTTTATTGTATTGTTCAATGTGAAATTAGTTGTTGATGTTGCTAAAGGTAAAGGTGGTACTGTGATAGATTTATTTTTAATTTCATTTGTATAAGTCATATGTTCAATTAGTTCTTTTAAATATTCATAAATTGTCGACTGATCACGCCACCACATTTGTCGATGAGATGGATTCACGTCATTATGATCTTTTAACACTCGTTGTCTACAACCTTGAGATTTTCTACCTGTTCCATATATTATGCATTGTTGCTCACCCTGTTTAAAAGATAAATCTGAGATTAATAGATGAACTGTTAAAAAGACATAATTAAAAATTTAGGAATACATTTTATCAACTAACATTATCGGTACATTCTTATTTTTCTTTACTGATTGATTTTAACCAAGAAAATTAGTATTGCTACCGCTCGTTTTTATTAACTGATTCTCTTTTTTTCTTACCTGTTTAAACATCGACTCGTAGTCGTTTGAAAATAAAAAATTATAATGAAATTCTTCCTTATAATCATCGTAAACAATTTGAATATGAGCAATATCTGATTGACCAATGGCAAAAAATCCGTATGAACATTCTACATCAGTCACACATAAATGATGATTTTTATAATGGCGACGAGCTTCATCACTTAAATGATTGGAATTTTGCTGATATTTAAGAATAGATCGATTGAGCCATGTTTTCGTTAAAGCATGACTATCGTCTAAGAGAGCGAGAGCTGGTAGACTTATTGGAATATTGGTATTTGTAGTGATTTTAAGTACGGATGATGAACGACCTAAAAAACGACAGAAAATTTAGTAATTATTGTAATATAAATAGTAAACTAAAGCAGAGGCAGCAATAAGCAAACAAAAAACAAAGTATATTGTTAACTTGTTTATGAGTTAATAATGCAGTGTTATGTTAAAAAATATATTATGTCGACTGAGCGACTACATAGTTAAATATTCACCATTTGTTGTTTTGTCTATATCCATGTTTGGACGTTCTTGTTTTAATTTAATCAATAGTTCGTCGAACATATTTCTCAAATCAACCACTGTAAACAAATAATATTAATGACACACAGAAGCAACATCAACCATCATTTTGCGTGAGTGAATATTAGAGAAGCAAAAAAAAACAAACTTTAACAAAAGATCTAAGATAAGTGAATAGATTCCAATTCCAATTCAATAAATATTTGTCGTTTACTTTTAGTTACAATGTAAATGCAATTTAGTTTATCCATGGAGAAAGATATCTAGATAATTGTTCATCTATACTGCAGTCCACTAGAGTCGTATAGTAAAAACCTCAGCATAAAAAATGTTCCTCATAGACTCAATAAAATTGTTTGATCAACCAACTGATGAGCAATGATTTTCTTTTTTTATCGACGAATTGTTATTTCTAATAGAGAAGTTCGTCTTTTGGTGACTATTTTTACAAGCTACCAGAGCTTCTTATGGACTCAAAATTCTGAGTCTAGTCCGAGTCTATGAAAAACGGAAGCAGTTTTTTTCTCGGACTATAAAAAAGTAGTCCAGTCTAGTCCACAATACAAAAACAACAAGTATTTTACTGATTATTCCTCGATTCATGTGTATCCAAAACTTTTTTTCGAGTCCAGACGGAGCTCTGCAAGATACACAACAAACTAGCAATGATAAGCCATAAGCAGAAGCATACATCAGTGTACATCATCGACATACACAACACGATATTCATACTTACTTCCACGAAATAACGGTGCTGCCAAATGAGTGTTTTTTTTATATGCCATTAGGTTGCAAGTTTTTGCATCTATTCCAGGACACTGCTTATCCTCACTCTTTGTTGTACTACTTTCTCTTTGTTGTTGTTGCTGATGTTGATACTTTTCATCGTCATTCTCATTTTCCTAGAAAGAACGTATCGATATTAGTCTACTGATTGGAATGAGGTATCGCCTTACTTTACTATCATCGTGAGTGGCTTTTTTTTCGTCATTATCATCTAACAGATCGTCTGTTGAGATTGACTGACTTATTGTTAGACTATTTGTCGCTGTTTGTTGTTCTTTGAATTGTTTTTGTTTGAAATCCGTTAACCATATTTTATAGTCTAAATAACATTTAATCACTCTTAAATATCGTTTAGAATAAATATGATCTGAATCGACTTCCAAAGCATGTTGATAATGAGAGATAGCGCCAGAATAATTTTGTTTTGTTAATGATAATAAATTACCAAGAAAAAAATTTGTAATTGGTTCATTTGAATTCACTGAATATGCTTCTAACGTTATATCTAACGCATCTTCATATTTACCCCTAGAAAACGTGAACGACGTAAACAAAGGTCACAAATAATCTCCTAAGTCACAATACATTCTCCGTCACACTTCATAAATAAAAAAAAATTGATGATATTGTCGTAGTAAAAAGATACGTTGTCTCATTTCAACGATATAAAGTGAGGAACCAAGCAACCTTTTACGAACAGTTGCGTGATATTCTTTTACACATTTTTTTTTTGTCCCTCTGTCATTTTTTTATCCTTTTAGTAGAAGATATATTTATTATAAAGGTGACAAATAATGCCCATAGGTAAGAAGAGAAAAGATCTTCTATTTTGTTATCCACGACAATCAAATAGAAATGTGTCAAGGAAGAAACTAGTTATAATTCTCTGTTGAATGTTATTGACGCCAAAAATAAATATGTTTTGTTCACGTTATGATAGATCCAAAAGAATAAATAATCAGCTCATCAGTGAACAAAAAATAGAAGCATTACAAATATTACAAGAAAGTTATTGTAAATCACTTTATTCATGTAGGTAATCCATATATTAATGAATCATCAAAATTAGATGTATGAAAAATTAAACGATGGTACCTGATCTATGAGAAAGTATCTTTCACAAATTAAAAAAAATATTGAATCGTATAAAAGCAGCGAACAGACAAGAAGAACTTACGAAAAAAATATAATAACACTCTACACATCAGATTACCTAAGAAAGGAAAAAAAGTTAGAAAGGTGAAAGAGAAAATGGAGAATGTAAATATGGTAAAAATTGAAATGTAACCTTAAGAAAGTTTTAGATAGATAAGTTGAATAAGAGTTTAAATGCAATAGCTCCACTTATCTGATTGGCGTACATCTTCGCTGTAGTGTACAAATAATAATGTTGCGCTGATGGCAGACTTTAAATACACACTAGCTATACGCAACGTATGAATAGTTTCACAAGATGAGGTTCAAAGATTTCACTATGTTGATCCTACATGCAAATAGCGATCTATATAGGCCAAGGTTTCTCTACTAAAAAAAGGCATTATCCAGGAAAATTAAGTGTTAGTGCAAGAAAAAAGGTATAATCCTTACCTTTTCGTTGGTTGTCAAAATCCAAGAAGTATGACTATCAACTAAACAGTGAATTGGATACAATTTTTGGTAGGAGAGAAAATTTTCTAATTAATTGCAGAAGATTCATTGCGAAAGACAGTTTTTACTGAAGTACTAAAATTGCTTTATATTATCTCCGGACATGAAGGTAATCAATATGAACGGTTAGTTTATTATAAGATTGTGTCAGACTGTTATAATGTATCGCTACTATAACATTGTGCGCTCAAATTTTAACAGAAACTGACTTCTTTTAGAATTACAGAAGATATGGATAGTTTGAATTATCACCATCTAAAACTTACCATAAATAGAGTATATTGGCTAAGTTAATTAATGTAACATCTGAATAATTTTTTGGTACATATTCCAATGATTTTAATGCACAATCTAGTGCATGTTGTAAATTTCCATTTACTCTCCAATAAAGAGATGAAATCGTATACAATATCCAGGATGGTAATAAATTCAGTTGATAAACGGTTAATATACGTTGACCAAACTCTTCAAGTGGAATTTGTTCGTCAATTGTCGTATCAATGTAATAATATAGTGTGAGTAACATATTATAATCTGGTCGATGTAATGGAGCGCGAAGACGTGACGATTTTTTAAGAATATCATATTTCAGAACATGAGGAGATTGTTCATTGATTTGTTCACGAATACAACAGAGAGGTGGAGACCAAGGCAGTGAATGTTTGTGGGAATAGGATTTCAATTGCATACCATCGTAGAATGCTTTTTTGATATAAAAGCCTTTATTTTCAAATGGTAACCAAACAGATGGATATTCACCTGAAAATGAAATAATGAATTTTGAATAAAGAATAAATCATTTTGATTTAAATTATTTCTTACCGATATCTGGTAATCCTTGATAATGTATTTGACATTCTTCGTATGATGGCCATACTGGATTTAAATATGAATATTTTGAAGATAATGTCGATGTTACTGTTGTCGTTGTAGTTACTGATTCAACAACTAAATCATCACTCATATTAGCTGGATATAATTCTGGATAGAGAGATAAGGAAAAATTGGTATTCATTATTGATGTGGTTTGGATTGTAGAGGAGAATCTGCCGTCATTAATTTGAAAACTAGTTTTAGTAGAAAATAAATCAGTTTCTGCTGTAGACGTGGTGGTTGATAGAGGCTGTGGTGCAATAAAAATTGATTTTGTCTCTTTTACAGAATCAAAATTTGCTTGTAATCGAACTAAAACACAACCAAAGATAGCACTTACGTTCAATGTACCTATAACAACATAATTTTTACATCATATACTTACGTTCGACATTATTTGGTTTACTATTCGTTCCATTTTCCAACATTTCTGATTGTTCATTTTCATTTATGCGTAATGGTTTGCAGTCTAATTCGTATAGTTTTACTTTTTTCTGTTTATTCTCATCTTTTTTGAAACATTGAAATTTCGATTCTAGCATAACATTAATATACGACGTTGATCGTTGTTGATGATGTGTAATAGAAGAATACGAGACATCTCTCGTACTAACATCCCCCCATTTGCATAGATGATGTTTTTGTTTTTTCAAATATAACAAAAATGCTTTAGCTTGCAATCGTTTTGTATCTGTTGACATATCTCGTTTAATTAGGGTATTTAAACGAATAAGTTCATCGGTGATATCTTTAAGTTGATTCAATTGTTTTAATTTTGTTTGTAATAACTGATGTTTATGTTGTAGCGATTGTTCCAGAGATAAATGACACTCTAAAGCATCATATTTCATATGAGATGTTTCACATTTTGATACATAATCAATCAAATAGGGATATAAACTGAAAAATAAGAAAAAATGAATGAATATCGAATGCAGAAGAAGACAAACTTTGAAATATTGAAACTTTGAATCAGATCTGTTTTTGTATTACTCACTAAAGTGTATCTTCATCTTCAACGTCGGTTGAATTCAAAATTAATTGCTGATAATAAATGGTTTTATTATAATGTTTTAATGCTAGATAAAATTTATTTTCTATTGTATACATGTTAGCTAAATAATAATGAGTTAATGAAAGTAAATAATTTTCTTGAACTCCATTGTCACTGTTTGCCATTCCTATTCGATGATAATTATCGATTGTCTTTTCAATGAGAACAATAGAATCTTTAATATGCCCATAATGATATAGTACATTGGCTAACGCAATTAGTGGAATATCCGCATGCTCAGATGATGAAGGCATATAATACAAGGCACATCTAAATGCAAATATAACAAATCGTTAATAAATAGCAAGTGAAGAAGGTAAAAAACATCTGTTGATACCTTAAACAGTCGATTGAATCTTTATATGCTTTTTCTTTATAATAAAAATGATATGACATTAGGGTATAAGCAATCCATGATGTTGAATTTTTATTTTGCAATTGTTCGTAAGCGTAATAAATAAAATACTCAATATCTTCTGTCAACACGTCAACATCATCATACAAATAAGAATGTTCATTCTTTTTAGAGTATAAAAAACGAGATTGAATACCTGGTAAATGATCAAACGCTAGCATACCTAAAAATAACACAAGATTAAAACAGTCTCATTAACAACAACATAAAAAAAATATTAACTACCCTTTACATAAAACTTATTTCAGAAGGAAAAGTCAACAGTGATAATTATCATAGCAAAATAAACTTTCACTAACGAGAAAGAGACACTCGGTCCATTGTAAACAAAGTATTTGGTTATTTTTCTTGAAACTGCGTCAGAATACAAGCGAAACATACCCGCTTGTATTCTGACCGAATAAAGCTTATATCAATTGCGTCAGACTAGCCTTCTGTCCAGAACTCTGGTTAATGACAGTAACAAGATGGGTGACCATGACAGAAGCCTGTTAACTGCAGGGAAGATATCGAGCTATTAAAACTGCCATTTAGCAGCACCCTACATCGATAACGGTAGCTGCAAGGTAGGGTATTCTTCCTTCTTGAGACTGGAACACTCGTATTTTATCTAAAAGAATAGCGGTTTTTGTTTGTATATAATACGTACTATAATCGAGTTGGCAAAATTTTCTACAATTATGAAGTTTTCTATTTTTATACTGTTGGATGGAATCTTCTCCTAGTGTTTGATTTCGAAAATAATGTTTCAGATTAATTTGTTTCATTGAAAATTGAATATGCAAGGTTTCATATAAGTTTGTTCTCAGCAGTTTTAATGTTAAAGATTCCCCATTTTTGATGAATTTTGAACATTCGGGACGATATTGTTCATCTCGTCTGCCATTTGATAGTGTTTCATCTTCACTTTCATCATCACTTCCTGAAATGATAAAAGATAGCTAATGATCTACCGGCCAAGGAAAAAAAAGTGATTTGAATAAGTGCACACATACTGCATTCATTCAAGCCCCTAATACAGTCTAAGTGCATTTAGACGAAACCATGCTCAAATTTTATTTTGAATGGATAATTATTGATTACAAGTCTTTTGCAATGTATGCAAGGCAAAGAAAAACTGCCGGAAAAAAACGTCTAAGGCCGTAGCAACGGCATCCTTTGGCCGTTAGATCATAAGATTAATAAATAAAATCTAATTAAATAAAACGTTTAGGAATCTAATGCATCATGCTTCTTCTCGTTGATTTCTCTATCTCTATAGAACCACAGTAATCTAACACGTCGGGAAATTTTGATGATTCTATTGTTTGTTTACCTTCTCCATTTTTATCTTTAATGTTACTATTTTTTACGCCAATTAATTTTACTAGGAATTGCAAATTATCTATTTGTTCTAATCTTTCTGATTGTTTAATAAATGTAATTAAATCGTATGGGCGTTGTAGAGTGTAGACAGTTTTCAAACTATCTGCTTCAAGATCGGACGATGTGACATACCAATGAGTAGATTCATGGGCTACGACTGATGTAGTTATAAACAGGAGTAACGCAAAGTAACCAAAACCCATTTCTTGATGCTTTCAGAATATCATCATCTTTATATAATAATAATAAAGAACATTTTACACGTATAAACAAGAACATCTAACTCTGGAAAAAATAAAATAAAAATGCTGTCACTGATAAATTTAGAAATTATCTAGGCACTTTGAAAACAAGCGTTGAGGATTGAGCTAGCAGCCTGTACCTACTTCTCTACACTCTATTCGTAACTCAAGATTTTCAGTTGAGACAAAAATCGGTACTTTTGCAGATCGATCACCTCCCTACCACTACCATCACTCACCCTCACTGCTACCGCCGCTCACTTTTACCACTAGGGAGGTGATCGATCTGTAGGAGAACCCAAAAATCAAGTCATAAAATCTCAGTAATTGTGTAATCAATCAAATAGTATTTTTCACTGACACGCTGAAAACTGGCTGTGCGCTTCAGTGTCTCTGATAGAATGCTGGATAAGAGGACTTGCCACTGTAATTCATCATGAAAAACTGAATCTTCCGTAATTTCCATTAAATTTCTAATCATAAGTCTGACTAAAAAAAATTAAAAATTCTATTAAAAACAAACGTACACTCTTTTTTTAGCAGAAAAAACTAGCAAGGCGATAACAGTAAAACTGTGGATGGTCATTTTGCTTGAAATGCTGGTTAAAAATACTTTTTTGCAACCTTTAGATATATCCTACCATCGGTTTACTTTATTTCATTCTGCTCCATTGCCTGTCACTGCATCCTATAATTTCATAGGCTTTATATATTATCAGCTGGGATACTATAAAGGATCTGATCAACTTAGTAGAATTAAATTTGCTTTCATGCCGAGATTTGGAGACAACTATAACTAACTATAACTCATCTCCGAGTTTCTACAGAACAGATTTGATTGTAAAGATGGTCTTCATAATTTTTGAACAATCTTTTTGTCTTATATTAACTCTAGGAAAAATCTAGCAAATACTACTTAGAACCGAAATTGAAATGACACAAAACATGATATAAAGTCACTTCTCAAAGCGAAAAAAAATACATAGTTACTAAGATAATGTTGCTTAGAGAATAAAGCAGATCTCAGAGTTATGTAAATAAATTCTCAAAATTGATGAATGATTACGGTCATTTTTAACTTCAAAAATTAATTTACATTTTGACACAATGAAAAAAATAAACAGAAAAGGTAAAAAAACTAACAGTCAAGTGTCGATTAGCTATTTTCAACTCAAATCAAAGTGATGTGTATAAACCTTTTTCTAATACAAGTCTCAAGTCGATTTTTTAGATCAGTTCTGAAGCTTCAGACGTCTAAAAAATTGGTACAGCATGAAACAATCCATCATGAAAGAATACAGTTCTCAACTACAATCGCACTTGTATTATCTGAAAAATAAAAAACATATAGATGTCAGACGAATCACCGTACGTTCGTCTGGATTGGTTCAGTATCCGTTTATTACTACTGGAATTTTTTCGGGCTTCTTTTAGCCAACGACATTTAATCTACTAATACAGCTTGCCAAGAAAATTTCACGTTTTCGTAATGATACTGATAATACTACAAAAAGCGAATTTTCTTTAGTCGATGATCTACCCGATATGCGAAACTCAAAAGAGGCGAATAATAGAAATAGGGTGCGAATGGATAAGATTCATATTTCTTTTCGACTTCTATCATTACTCAAGGTTTATGTAAAAAATGGTTTATAAGTACTTATATTTTTCAAATATGCTTGGAAAATACTTTTTTTACCAGCTAAAAATCTAAGGTCAAAACTAGGCATCCATAAATCTCTACTATCAACGTAAAATTTGGAAATTTTACGGCGATAGTAGAGATTTATAGATAAAATTTATGGATGCCTAGTTTTGACCAAAATCCAACTACTTTGGACATCACTGGTTCGAAGACTTGTCGAAGTATTTATACATGAGTATCCTCATGATGGTAAACTTTAAGCCTTAACTATTGATTCTGTTCTAAAATACAAGAATAAAACAAAGAATTAAGCAAAATTTTTGTTCTTTTCGGTTGATTTTTTGAGAATCTGATTAATTGAATTTTGTCTTGATTTCTGAAATTGCCTGAAAAAATCTTCTGGAGTGGAGTGAATAAAATTGTAATTAAATCGATGTTATACCATTACTGGGGGTCGTATCACGAAAAAACTTAAGTCTAAGTTTAAGACCGACTAAAGTCCGGGGACTTAAATCGTATCACGAAAAAGACTTAAGTTGGCGATTTGTTTACTTTTTAAAAGTCGTTGACAACAGTAACAACTTCGGATAAAAACTCGCAAAATAACGAAATATTTATTCTCTAATCCTTAGGAAGACGGGTCTTAATTTGAAGACTACATTTCCCATGACTTAAGTTTTTTTGTGATACGGTAAAACTTAAGTCAAAGACTTAAGTCCAAATTTTGACTTAAGTCAGAGTCTAAGTTTTTTTGTGATACGACCCACTGAATATTAGAAGTCGACTGCTATCGATCTGCAAGGTTTCTTAACAGTTTTATCATTCTTCTACAACAAGGTGCATTGCTGTTGTTCAGCGGAATCGCCGAGACATACGTGAGACAGTTGAGAGTCGCGGTTGTTATTCTGGATCGCAGCACTGCGGCTGTTTCATAGGACAGCAGACGTGAATATTTAGAAGGATTTTGTGATTTTGGTTATATGAAAATTGTGCCTTTACATATCACATATAATGTAAATGTTGTATTTTTTATTGATGTTTCGGTTGGCCCAGAATAAATGATCCTCATATTTTGTTTATAATTTTTTTCTTTTCAATCCTTAGACCTGATTGGTTTTCCAAAAGATGCGCCGTCAAATTCTCTACAAGCAGGGCCACCCAGATAAGTGGGAGAGGAGAGGGATCCCCCCTGCTTTTTGAAAAGTTGACTCCGAAATCAGGATTTTCTTACTTCGAAAATTAGATCTTTGACTTACGAGAATTTCCCACAGAGTAAACCGTTTACTCGTATTTTCAGAGTAAGACAATTACTCTAATTTTTAGAGTATGAAAGGCTTACTCTCAGTTTCGTAGTTAGGAATTTACCTCTTTTCAAAAGTAAGATATTTACCTCTTTTCAAAAGTAAGATATTTACTTCTATTTTCGAAGTAAGACATAGACTTCTATTTTTGGAGTAAAGTATTTGTTTTTTCTCTTTCTGTGTTTGATAGAAAATAAAAAAGTTTCTATCATGTACATAAATAAGATAAGATAAATATAATAGACTGTATCCTGGCTTCAGTAAAAATTTTTAGAAGCATAAAAATTTACTCCGAAATTGACTTTCCTCCCTGCCTCCGATACATTGGGGCGCCCCTGAAAAACGGACCAACTTTCTAAGCCGAAAAAGCGTTTTGTTCAACCACTTTCATTAAGCTGGATAATAAAAAGAAGGGAATATACGTATTTTGTAATCCTTGAAAAGTTCTATCAACTAGTATTAGGTGCACAAATGCAAAATCAATCTTTGAGGCTTACATCTATTTCTCCTCTTCGCAAAATCCATCTATCTGAATGTGTAGATTCGCAGCTCTCGGCAAATCCTGCACAGGGTTGCCAGATGTCCCCCCATAAGGGGGACAATCCCACATATAAGGATTTGTCCCCCGCGAAATCTGTCCCCTCGGGTGTCCCCCTTTTCAAGGATTTTCTTCCGATTGTCTTAAATGCACTTTTCACTTCTGTACTACACTTTCATTTCAACAGATCTTTAGCATTTAATGCCTTTTCTTATGTGAAATACAGTCTGCATGAGAGATATATCTGCCTATAGACCTATGCGATAACAGGAAAAGGATAATTTTTTTGTCTTTTTTTGTACACGCCTTTCAAGATGCATGTTCCAAATAGAAGTGAAAATAACGCTGTACGCAGTTTTACTATACTGTAAGAAATGAAACAAGAGTCGAATACAACAACATTTTCATCTTTGTACAAAGTTTTTAAGTTCACATTCTCATTATCTTCCTCGAGCGAAATGTCTTGTTTTTCTGCTTATCTAATTACTTTTAGATAATTAATGTCCAATTTTAAAAATAAATGTTCAGAAAATGTAAATAAAAAGCTTTATCTCAGCATTTTATCTTGTCCCCCTTTGTAGAAGAAAAAGTCCCTCTTATGTCCCTCTTTTTCCTAGATTTGTCCCCCTTTCTTTCTTTTTTAGTTGGCATCCCTGATCCTGCACCTCAGAAAATGGCTTCGTTATGAAGCCAACATAGCAGCTTTTTAGCTCGGTCTTTTTTTATTTTTATGAGATATGATATCTGTGCCAGCTTCAGCGGGGAAAGTTACCTTAAAACTTTCTTCATACATTCACTTGCGGGAACAATAGCAGATGTTAGTGACTTTGAGGTGGATTTTAGAACGTTAGATTTTTCACTGCTTACTCAGATTTGAACGAATTGTGAATTGCATAAGGAGAAAGATTACCCTTCATAGTACTCAAAAATATCTTCACTTCATTGTTTCATTGTCTTTAGAGTTGCTTAAAATATTCTAAAATTTGTAAAACAAAATAGCATAGAAAGTTGGTCCGTTTCATCATGTTGAGTATTCTCCGTTTAATTTTTCTCCTTAACTTTCTATAGAAATAAGTCTAATCAAGCCTTGTAGAGAATTTGACGACGCATCTTTTGGAAAACCACTCAGATCTAAGGATTGAAAGAAAAAAATTATAACCAAAATACAAGGAGGATCATTTATTCTGGGCCAACCGATATTTTTGTCTTGTTTCCTTTTGAGTTGGTGTGCATTCATATTTTGGTGAGAACAGTTTTAATACATGTATGAAAGCGTGAGTCGATGAATTTATTTACTTTTCTAATATTTTTTTGTTTTTTTAGGGATTATATCAAACAAAATATCTAAGATTTAGTTATATTCAACTCAAACTGTTGAAAATTCAAACGCGACGATTAAATCTTATTTATTATTAAAGTTTTTTACAACAGTTTGAAAACAGTTTTATATTAAACGTAGTAACGGACAAAAGTATTGACCCACTCTAAATCTCACTAATCATGATAATTATTGATTCAAGAATTTGTCGGAACAAGTTTTAATTCGTTTAACTGTATGATTGTTCAGATATTCTATTTTTACTTTTTTACTATTGAAATACTTCATGTATTGCATGCATCTGATTAGTTCAAAATTTTTTTAGGTCATTTTATTATTAATAGTCAACATTGTTTGAAAAAGACGAAAACAAATTATTTCGTATGTTATTTTATTTTTCAGTTTCTACATAAGAAAATTTAGTCTTGTTTTCATTCTTGTACTTTTTTGTATTCACGAGAAAGCATCTGATAAAAGTATGTGAGTCACAGGGGAGGCGTTTTTCTAATAGAAGGGAGATGTCAGGATTTTTTGCTTGTAACCATTTTTAACCGGAAACTCTTTACACTGATCATATGTGTATGAAAACATAGTTAGTCTAGAAAATAAATTTATTTCTCTGACACTGTGAGTCCAAGCTGGGAAATCTTTTTGGTAATGTAGTCAAAAAAGAGCCTAGATCGATAATCTACGTCGTTTTTATTTTGGACTTGGTTGGCTTTAATGAAAAACGTATTTTACTGCATCTTAATGTATTTTAAGCTAATTTTTACCTAAATGTTTTCTTATAATTCTTAGCAGTTAGAATAAGAATTCTTTTATGAATATATGGCCCATATCCTAAAGTATAATTTTTTATACTTAGACTGAAAAATGCAGTACTTCAATTTTTTTGCTAAATGTGCGCCCAGATACACACTGTGGATGGGAAGTATTCTTCATTTCGAATGTTTATGTTGTTATTTTGTCAAAACTGTTATACTTGCATTTATATTTAAAAAGAAAGTACTCTCTTAGAATTTATTCAATATAGTAATGAAATATTAGATATACATTGTGAAAAAAAGAGAAACGATTCTAATGATATTTCTTGTTCGTGTCAACAAGAGTTTTGATTCGTGTATGCTATTGCTAATTATAAAAAAACAAAAAGTTTTTATTGATGAGAACGCTTAAATAATCCAGTATTTATGAAAAAGCATATTGTTGTTTAATTTTACATAGTTTTTTTAGCAATATTTCGTTTTTTTTTCTCTATAATCGATGAGAAATGAGCAAAAAAATATTTGTCATATAAGCAAACACGACTCTCACATGGAGAAATTATAATTATCAAAATAAAATGACGCAATTCTTGAAGTCATATTGCGCAGTAGAAAGACTAAGTATGATCAAGTAAGATGAATAGTTTGCCATGTTAATGTAATATATATTTCTTCCGGAAGCCAATTAAGATCAGTGTGCGTTTTAATTACTTTTCTTCTGTTCTTGTTGTCAATTTTTAAATTGACATTTGTATATTCATTCATAGAATCATCCACTCAAGTGTTTGTATACTTGCGTTTACTTTTTAAACTTATTGAGTGTCTGTTTATTTGAACAAAAAGAAAAAGAACATTTTCTTTACCTTTTGTGTAACCGATAAAAATCAAGTCAATTATTTGTGCTTAATAAAATAAAACAAAGAAAAGAATGAAAAAAAATTAGTTAGACGCAATCTACATAGTTTGCCGATACTACAAGCAGAGAATTACTAGTTTTATTCTTACTATGGCAGCATTCATACTACCACCTATTCATTTACATCGTCATTCCGTAATCGATTATTCATCATCGTTAAAACAAAAAAATAAACTACCTTCACGTATTCCATTGAATAATGCTGTTCGATTGCCCAAACCACGTTTATCTACTGTTCGATTTCAGGAATCTGCCTTTTCTCTACCGACTCATAGTCGAACATCACAAAATAATGGAAGTCGATTAAATGTTGAAATTGAAAATATACTCAATGAAGAACAACAGCATGATACTGAACAATTCCAAGAAAATGAATATATCCATTCATTAAAGGTAGACATTATGTTTAGAGTTGGAAACCTTTAGTCGATCAAGACGGTCAGAGTGCTGATGGAATTGATTTTTGGCCCTATCTAGACAATTATTTAAGCACCAAGTAGTAGTCACTGTCGTTTCCTTTAAAATTTCATCATTATTCATAATAAACACCTGATAACTAGTTATTTGTTTTGAATTCAACAACTCTTCTCGCTGAGTTTGATGAGGTTAACCGTAGCTAAAAATGATACTAACCTACACCTTTATAGGTAATGGAAAAAGCTGAACGATCTTTGTTAAATGACAATCCATCTTCCTTATTGTTACCAAAAACGTCCAAATCAACAACAATCGAACCATTACCCATGACAAAATCCAAACCCCCGTCAACACCCGTGCATTTTGTCTCTACACTATCTGTTGACGGTCAATATGCAATGATGAAAACCTATGAAGACACGTTATTCAAGGAAATTTCTAATGCTTATCCAACCGTCGCTACCATTTTACCACGAACAAAAACTTCTCATTTCAGAAAGAGACGTTTGCTTTCGCCGTTGAAAGAGCAGCAACAACAATTGAATAAACTTTACGAAACACATCAGGTCACAGAGCATATTAAACAAGCACAAAAAATTCTTGACGATTTAGATGAAATTAAAGTTGGAAAATTAGATCGATTTTGTATGTCAAAGAGAAAAGAGCCACTTGGAAAATATGTACAATGGCAAAAAACATGGTCACATACTTTAAATGCTTGAAAATTCGTTCTTTGTGTATCAATTCCACTTAATGAAATATACATAACTCGGTGATATTTCCGTTTTTTAATTCTTGTCTGGCGAAACTTTTCTAAATATTTTTAAGTTAGAAAACATTCATTGGAAAAAGAGAGATATACGCTGTGGTTATTTGATCAATTGATTTTTCACAAAAAAAAATGTTTGACAAACTAAAAAGCATCCTTACATCGTTTGTTCGAAAAAAGAAGAGATATCTGTTCATCTCTTATCTTTAATCAATAAGTAATTTTAAAGTAACCAAATTTATTAATGAATAATGATTTATTCTTATTATATTGTTGTTGATACTTGTCAAACTGTTTTTACCACTAGTCTCTAAAAAAACTAAATCTTTTTTTTTGCATCTTTCCCTGCATCACTTATTTTTTCGATCGCATATTTGTCTCTTAAATCGAGAACAACTTGTCCGATAATAATAAGCAAAACGAGTAGAGTAATAACCATTGTTAATGTTGAAAGATTTATATTTAACGTGGTCATAGGAAAAAAGACGAAAATAGGTTTAGTTTTAATTAAATAGACTAGTATGAGTATGTGACTGTTTTTTTTTCTAAAGAATAATGCAAATGATAGAATTTAAAAAGTTAAAAAGAACAGTCGACAAAATAGTGATAGTTTGTTTCAGTGCATAATAAAATTTTCGTTTCGACTATTTGATCTGGAGTTTATGCGACTATTTGTTTCATGAAAGGAAAATTTTTTTGTTCTAGTTAGAAACAGAAATGTCGAACTACTACTGAAGTTTTTGAATGTTAAAATGAGTCTGTTGTTGTTGCTGTTACTTTCGGTTGAGATAAGTTTCACTCAAATCATTCTATCAGAGTTGATTTCTTCTCTACTGATCTCAAAATGAGCGATTACATTTCTTACAAGTTTCGAACTTAGTAGAACTTTCATTTTCGAAGGAAGAAAGTTTGAGATTTAATGTCGAGAATCCATAGCAGAAACGTGATTTTTTTCAACTTCAAATTGTCTTTTCCGATAGAAGCATACATAATCTTAGATTTTATAGATAGCATTCCTTTAGCAATTAAAAAAAGATGTTCGTACGCGCCAGTGTATTATTTAGATTTCATTTTCAGGAGGGGCGAATGAATGTTTCGGGAGGGCTACTGCTTGAAGCTTTTTTCTATGTTGATAATTTCCGATGCCGCGCCACCCACTCAGCCGGGTGTTATTTGTGTTGTCAATGGGTGTTAGTTCCAGGTCTGTTTTTCCTGAACAAAAGCACCAGGAATCTTGAAAAGGTCGTGGAAGCATAGATCACAGAATTCTCTATCTCTTGATGTACATCGGACTTGATGAGCATAGGCTTACACAAATTGATAGATGTCTGCAGAAAACAGGTTATAGTTGGACGATTGGGTAGGTGTTGCTCTTTTAATTTTTGCGCCGAAAAATAAGAAAAATTTATTTGAAAACAAAGTGGATAGTTTTGTAGAGCAACGAATTCTCTATCGAATGAACTCAAAACCGAATTTTAAAACGATTTTTAGTGCCTAAAAAACAGAAATCAAAAGTAGCCGGTTTAATCTGGCCCATCCGTTATATGAGAGCCACTGACTTTAAGACAAATTTTCAATCGTTTTCGTCATATAAGTGATTCATTAGTAAAAGATCGGCTTAATAACTTGGACTGAGGCGCACTGCTGCCTTTTTTCCGATGAGAGTAGATGCTGGCTACGACTAGAACGGGTAACGGTTCGCATATGTTCTGATAAGTTCTTGATTGAAACCGTCCGGTACCGGTGATTACGTGGTCTGAACAGATGAATACTAAAATGCGAACTAAAATATCAAAAATAAGCAAGAAAGTATTGTTAAATTTAGAAAATCTCGCTGAGGTTTTTTTCAGGACTAGGAACTGAACATTTTCTTAAAAATTGACTACTGTTCGTCTTGTGAGACATGTTCTCATCAGAGATCAGCACGGACCAGGCTTGGTCCGCAAAGTATTTTGGTCGGGTCGGGCCGGACTTAGAATTTTTAAGCATGCGTGGATTTGTAATTTATGTGTATACTCAATACCGAGAAATCATAAAAATATAAATATTAGCTTGAGAAATACGTTTACACCGCTTAGCCAGCAGAAGTATTACAGATACAAGACGAAAAAACGCAAAGTGATCGGGCCGGGCCAGAAAAATTCCAGGACTGGTCGGGCCGGACCAAATAAATTCTACGTTTAGTCGGACCGAGCCGGGTTTGATCCGGAAGCTTTCATCATCGGCCGGATCGGGCCAAAAATTTTCGGTCCGTGCGGATCTCTGGTTCTCACATACTTGCAATGTATGAGGAATATGTTCTCTATAGATTTATTGTTGAAGAGTTTTCGAATATTTGCAAGTATTATAATCTGCATCATGTACGAATTAATATAATTAGATTCAATCCACCGATGATGTGATCACACTTTTAAAAATGCTACTTCATTGAGATAATTATGCCACAATTTCCACTTCTGTTAAAAATTATTGTTAAACTAATAATTCCTAAAGCGTTTATAAGATTGAACTTTTTTAACTTTTAGTTCGTAAGGGGTTAGTTGATAAGTATTCATAGAGCTTAAAGGTGGTAACCTCTATGGTTTTCTATTATTGTCTATTTATTTTGTTTCGTATTTTAGATAATCTAACGTCTCTATATTTCCTCTAATTAGTTCTCATCAATATGGCTAAAAACTTGGAATCATCATGCGAATTTCGTCCTCGCCGTATGGGAATATTGGGTTTTGGCCATCTAGGACAATTTCTATACAATCTTTTAGAACGGGAACAATCGAAATCAGAACAAAAATTTGAATTAGTATTTATTTGGAATCGCTCAGTGAATGTATTTAAAAAATATCCAGAAATTAATAAACAATTAATCGTTGAAACAGTACAAGAAGGTTAGTTTTTCCTCAATTATAGTCATTTTATCTATTGTATTTATCCCAGTTTAAGTGGGAATTCAATGTTTTAACGAAAAATTTCCATACTACGTTGTGTACGGAATCGTGCGAAGAAGATGAAACGGTTTAGTTTTGTCTGAGTTTAGTAGTGAGACGTGCCGACTAAGACCTGAGGAAATTTGCCTCCTCTCCTAGTCTTTAGCAAGTAAATCGCGGGTAACCAAGGATGTTTATCTTAGAGTCAAAAAGTGACATTTGCTTAGAAGAACATGGAACATTAAATGAATGAATATTCCTAAACAATACATATGAAAGAGTGTTAAATATATCTCATCAAACATCTACTATCACTAATTCACTCTTGCTGAATTAGTTGCGTAAACTACACAGCAAGACTTTCCCATGTAGTGAAAATCGTCAATAAATCGGCGATTTCTTACCGATTAATAGCAATTAATCAGTGAGTATTTAGTTTAACGGTCAACTGGGCTCCTCGGTTCGAAGCCGACTCAAATCGAAATAATGAGTCAGCTCTGAGGAAACGACTGAGAACATTCTAGGCAACTCCGTTTTAAGCTAAACTAAAAAGATAATCTGAAAAGAAGAACATTTCGCGTTGAAATTCTGTTTCTTATATACTTACTCTACTGCAGAATAAAACGGTGAATAACAAAAAACCATTTAATGCCTTAAAATTAACAATTAATCGCAATTAATTAACCATTATTAAGAAAAAACAGAAAAATCACTAGGATCGATAATTAATCACAATTAATTTGCGATGTTTCTAAGAACGGCGATATATCAGTGATTTTTAACAACTGTCGATTTTCATGCAAGCCGAGTGATCACCGGTTGTTAAAAATCGCCCATATATCGCAATTTAAGGACGATTATAGTCAAAAAAATTGCGATTAATTGGCGATTTTATTGCTAATCGCAAGTAATCGTCCTGAATATAGCGATCTTAACGACATGGGTTTTGAAAATTAGCACTTTGACATATATCGGTCAATTATAGTCTACCTAAAGTGTAACCTTAAATTTAGGGATGATTAGAATTGACCCAATATATGTATGGTTATACAACCATCAAGATATGATGGTGATGAGGAAAAGATAGAGGTTTAGATAATATTTTTATTGCTTAGGTTTTAACCAGTCGTTAATTTAGAGTAGAAAAAATAGTTTGGTATAGCGTGGATAAAGAAAAACTGCTGCAATGCTACTAAAAAAAACGAAATGTTCTCAGAGTTGGCACTGTAGCTAGCACTGCCATTTGAGAGTTGATGAAAAAGCTAAATGTTACTTTTCTCAACACGGGCACTGTATTAAATCATTTGCCATGTTTTCATGACATGGTAGTTTACGTTATTTGTATGCTCTTTTGCTAGGTTTACAACGTTTACCCGATTTAGTTATTGAAGTTGCTCATCCAGATGTCATCGAAAAGTATGGAATTCAAATTCTTGACGTATGTGACTTATTTATCGGCTCTCCAACTGCTTTTGCGGACGATCATTTGGAAAAGTTATTACGTAAAAAGACGATGGATTCATCACATTCAATTTATGTTGGTGCTGGTGCATGTTGGGGCGCTGAGGATATTTCGAAAATGTGTGAAAGAAATATTTTGAAAACCTTATGTATAACAATGAAAAAGCATCCAGATTCACTTAAACTTAATGAACCGTTGCGAACAAAATTAACGGAAAATTTAGGTAACTGATAAACAGCAAGTACAATAAACAAACAGTAAAATTATACCTAAATGCGAAAGTTAGTCACAAAAGTGAAAAAGAGATCATCTTACAAAGTGATGTAATGTCTGCGATGGAATTTATATTTTTTCTGTGATCATTGTTCAATTCGGATGAGAAATATATTTTTCAAATCAAAACTTTTACTTTATTCTGTCATGTAGACGTAGATAGAGACCTTTACTAGCAATTCTGATTTTTTGTTTAGAGATCGAAGGTGAAGTGATATTGTACGATGGTCCTATACGTGAAGTATGCCACTTAGCTCCGAATAATGTTAATACAATGGCTATTTGTGCTATATTGGCGCCAAATTTGGGTTTCGATGGCGTTCAGGGAAAACTGGTTGCTGATAAAAAATTATTTGATCGACATATTATAGAAATTGAGTTGTGGGGTCCAGACTCTATCGATAAAAATAAACCATCGTTTCATTGTAAGACAATTCGGACAAATCCCGCTGATATTGGACATGTAACAGGATCTGCTACGCTTATGTCATTTTATAGTAGTTTAAAGAGAGCAACAGGTTTCACAAATGGAATACACGTTGTATAACTGTCAAAATGACGTAATGTTTGATTATGCCTATTTTCTTTCGTAAAATCTTGTTAAAAAGCAAATTTAGGTTTTTGAGTAGTCATTTTCTAGTACTGAGACAATGATCGTGCAAATGATATTTTTCTTTCGAAATGCTTTTCTTTCTCTTTTTAAAATAGATAGTTTTTACTTGGGCTAGATAATTCACATTGATTCTCTTTTTAAGCTTTTTTTGTTATTCAAAGTTGTCTGCGATAACTGGATTGAATCACTACTTCTTAACATTGTCATTTTTTTTACTAAACATTGATCAGACTAGTTTTCAATTAAGATACTGTTGCTGTGAGAAGGAAAGATGTATAATCAAACTCTTTTATTATTATAAAGACTCAGATTTTTGTCTTATTTCGATTCCGGTGCGCACGTACGTCTTCCATTATTCTAGTTATTTTTTTATAAGTATATTTTCGTGAATCTTCTCCAGCTATTTTGAAGAAAGAAAAGGATTAAGTTTTTTTACTAAAAGTAATGTCGTTAGTTTTATTGCAGTTTTTTTCGTGTTGTCTGTTGATTTACACATTTTATATCTTTCGATCTTTTCTGTCTTTAGGTGGAATCAATGGTTTTTCTTTGCACTATTAAATTCTCTTCTGCAGATTTTCCTTAGAAATAAAACAATAAAACTAGACATTTGTTTTTTTCAATATTACGAAATATTCCTGACGCATTAAGTTAGTACTAGTTCTACCATTCGTACTGATTACTTTGCAATCAATCAATTATTCGACACACAACTTGGAAGAATTACATCATCTGATGAAAGTGTTTTCTTACTTCACCCTCAATTTGTACCATCAAATGTATTAGATCCATAAATACAAACAAAAGATTTTTCGTTCCCTCAATTTTTCAAAAGCTCAGCAATTTTTGTTATTTTTTTAGTTTTCAAAAAGTAACACTCCGTTCTGATCCGTCTAAAGTAGTGTGCCAGTGAATCCCGTCGTTGTCTAGTATATGCCGTAGAAGTCACTACGCATGCTATAAAATCTGTTTATCGAGCTCTCGATCAACTTCAATTTACAAATCAATGCAATTACTCTCACTCACTGTCGTAATTACTATAATTTTAGTATTTTTTAATTATCAATTTACTTCATCATGTCATCAACAAATTCTTCATCATCTACTAAAAATGGTCTACCTTTAAAGCGAAAAGTTCAAGTTCAACAGACACCATCATTATCACCGACACCAGCCAAAATACCAAAACAAGAACAACTAAAAGTATGTACGTCTTTGAAAAAAATATACATATTTTTCTCATTGTATATCTCTCTCTCTCTATATATATATATTTTTTTATTTTTTTAGTCACAACGTACTCTCGGCGTTCCAGAAGATGACATTATTCGTTCTCGCCTATTATATGAGGGTGACATGGGTATTGATGATCGGCGTATTTTAACACTAATGAAAACGTATCATCGTTGGTTTCATGACTCATCGACCACATCTGATGATTCAATTGAAAAACTTCTCTCATCACTGTACGCTATTGAACACTCCTATACTTTATCACAGACAACGTTAAAAATGGACAAATATGAACAATTATGTTATGAGCAAAAAAATTCATCTATTTTAAAACATTTAGAAAAATTACGTATAGAATTAGATTTGAATGAGAAGCATTTGATTAAAGCAAAAGATAAACGTTTACATCTTTTAGAATATGATCGAAAATGTATAGATATTGACAAATATCCAACAAGAAAAGAATTAAAAACACAGATACAATCTGTTCTAGGTAAATTAACATATTCTTCTATTGATCTTTGGTATTCTTTATCGCATACACTTCAAGTTTAGAACGTAAACAATATTTTGAACGTTTATTGACAACATTCGACTCCACTTATCATTTACGATTGAAACAAATTGCCATTTATATGAAACCTATATTTGAGTTAGATTTGATATTGAGAGAAGATACAATATCTGTCGATTCAGATACTGAAGAAGAACAATCAACTATCATAAAATTATCTGTGCCTATAACAACTGCAGAAAAATCGAGTAAACAATCAAGTAAACAATCAAAAACATCGAGCACAACCACACCGAAAGCTTCGTCACACAAGCGAACAAATTCAGATTCATCAGCAGCTAGTATGGAAGATGATGTGCCACCATCTAGTAAAAGTAAAAAAACTAAGAAACAAAATCTTCTGTTGCCAACAACTACAATTCAAGATCAAAATTCAGACGTAGTCGTACCGTTGTTCAGTAATGATATGGAATTGTTTGGTACACTCTTTGTAAATCCATTAGACAAAGTGTTAGATAAATAATGTAAAATGTCATTTCTTGTACATAGTTCTACATATTCTATTAAGACAAAAAATAAAAATTTGATTTTTATTATCGTTCATATCTATCACAAGTTAAACTATCTTCATTTCACGAAACAGTCAAGACAAAAAAAAATGAAATATCTATGATGTACATTTGTTATAGTGTAATGATATGGATAAGTTTTTTTGTTGTTGTTATAATAAGAATAAATGAAAGACATTTAAATAATAAAAAGAATATGTACCACTACATTTCCATATAACTCTTTCTTTTTTTTTCATTTAGATTTTATATTTATTGTTAAACAAATGTATGTAATTTATCGCACAATATGTACATCTTCCACTCTACCTGTTATTCGTTCTCTACTGTTCTCTACTATTCGTTCAACACCATCGACTATTTTTAAATGTTCACCTTTACCCATCGGTTCTCCTACAAAATGTTACTCCACTCTGTTATTCTTGAACAAAAGCTTTTTATTCAAACAGCATACATTACGTTATTCTCCAAATCAATTATTTGTAAATACTCTAAAAACACTCAGAAATCGACCAGTAATTATTAAATCACAACAGCGACAGTCACATCCGAATAATCCAGTTCATCCTCCAGATTATGTACCACCATCAACCACATCTGCCGTAAAATCGCAGTCAAGTATACTTCAACGATTTCGTCAAGCCTATGCTAAATATGGAAAAATTTTGATTGCAGTTCATTTTGTTACATCGTGGATGTGGATTTCAGGACTTATTTTTATTCATGTTAAAGGCCTTGATTTAGGTAAGAACAGATAGAATTAAAATTAGAATATAGAAATAAAAATGAGTGCGACTAGAATTGTCCGAAATTTTCTTCTAAATATGCTTCTTTGTCCCATCAATTTTAGGAATGTATATAATGAATGGTCTGGTGTATTTGAATGTAATTACTGATGAGCGTCGTACAAAATTTGTTCAAAAATTGAATGATTTTCAAATTATATCTGTTATCAAAAAATTACCACTACTTACTGAGGATCAAGTGACACGTCTTAATGACTATTTCACTGGCGAACGTTTGCGACTATTAGCTACTGCTGTTTTACTTTATAAATTTCTTACACCTATTCGTTATGCAACTTCATTAGGTGTGACAGCATTCTTATCGAAAAATTTGTTGAAACGTGGTGTTTTGAAGAGAGCACCACAAGGTGATACACTCAAAGAATTGTATCATGATCAAAAACAACTCATTGGACACAATGTTAGACGAGCAAAAGATCACATTAGAAATAGAATTAAGAGAAGAACGAGAAGAGGAAAAATAGCACAGTAGTTTTTTTATAACTATCACTCTATTTTTAGTTAATTAATTTTTCTGTAAACAAGCATTTCGTTGTTTTTTGTTTTGTATTTTGTATTACGTGTTTTTAATCAATAATGTTCCTTTAAGAATATTAATTCAAAATATTTGATGATATATTATTAAAAAATATAATTATAATCAGATATGAAAATTGGCTATCAAGCGTTTTCTATGTACTGTATAAACTAATGGTATTATGGTAATTCTGCTTCTACTATCCATTTCAAAATAGAACAGGCTGGTTCCTCGAAGAGCAAACGCGATAACGACCTGCGGTTTGTATCATTTTGTAACCAAGATCTGACTATATGAAAGTACGGAATGGATTGGCAGTGAGTGAAAAAATAATGAATTTTTTTTTAAATTCTAATTACTGAATTCAAACAACCGAACTCACTGGGTTTTTTTTACGAAAAGGAAGAATGAGTTTAGGTTTAGAAAAAGTGAAAAATCCTGTAATAAACCGATTAAATAAAGGATTTTTGAATGAAACATCAGAAATCTTTTTGTCGTTCTTCTTGCAGATATTTTTGGGTGACCAAGTTCATAATGTATGTTACATACCAGATATACCATAAATTACAGTTTCTCTCCGAACATAATACTTTTAAATATGTACATTTGTTCGGTTAATTCAATAATTAAGACACATACGACAAGACAGTCATAAAAAAACTTTTAGAAGATTATTTTGCGGTATGAAAATTTTTTGATGAAAAAAACGCAGAATTGCAACTGATAAATGCCGGTGCATTTAAATAACATGTCAAGCATGCATAGAGGTAAGACTTAATGAATTGGGTCACCTACTAACAAGTAACATTCAGTGATAGATTGATAAATAAGTGGCGACTAGTATCGCTATAGTGTATGTATACGTATCAGTATGCGCGATACCTTCTTTCATCAAACTAATTATACTTGACAATAATTAGGAAGCATAGGAAAGGTAGACTAGCGAGTTTTGTACAATAAATAAGATTTGTGGTGACAGCTTGGACACATAATGATTTTTAGAAAGAAAATTTTCCAAATTAGCCTTCAATATACATGTCTAAACTCATTTATTTTTTATGGAAATCACGAATTTTGACTCTAAAAAGAATCAAAAATAGAACTTCGGATAAAAAAAGAGGAGTAATTTAAATTATCTTTTTAAAAATTAAAAGCTCTGAGTCTTCTCTAGAAATCGTGATTAAAAAAATGTCATAGCGTTAGGCCTGCCAAGATCGATGGCTAATTTTTATTTTTATCGGCTCAAATATCCATTGATTATACTCTTTACTAGGTTAGATTTTCAAAAGTGATGATTTATTTTCTACTTCCTCATAGCCTCAGCTATAGAAAGTTATTCACTAGCAAAAGCATAGTTATTATCCAATTCAGTGAGAATTATATTTTTCACTTTTTTTCTCTATTTTTCGCCTATTTTGTACCTGACTTTTTATCTTTATTTTTATCTCTAGATAAAATTAAAAAAACTGGCATAAATAAATGATTAATTACTTAATCACTATTACGGTGTTTTTTTTGTAAACTGAAAGCCATGATTTTCTAATAGTCAGTCTATCTAGATGCACGTGCACCTGAATCTAGATAAATGATCCAAAAACTGGGTCGTGTTTGCATGGGGTAGATTAACTATTAGAAAATCATGGCTTTCAGTTTACAAAAAAAACACCGTAATAGTGATTAAGTAATTAATCATTTATTTATGCCAGTTTTTTTAATTTTATCTAGAGATAAAAATAAAGATAAAAAGTCAGGTACAAAATAGGCGAAAAATAGAGAAAAAAAGTGAAAAATATAATTCTCACTGAATTGGATAATAACTATGCTTTTGCTAGTGAATAACTTTCTATAGCTGAGGCTATGAGGAAGTAGAAAATAAATCATCACTTTTGAAAATCTAACCTAGTAAAGAGTATAATCAATGGATATTTGAGCCGATAAAAATAAAAATTAGCCATCGATTTTGGGGAACCTGAATCTAGATTAATGACCGAAAAAATTGGATCGTTTTTGCATGGGATAACACATACTGTAGAAGCATGTCATCTGAATCGATTTTAAACTAGAGGTGTGCAGGATACGAGTTTTTTGTACCCTGTACCCTACCTTATAGAAATGTCTAATACCCTACACTATTCTACTCTATTAACTTTTACATCCTGCCCCATCCTACCCTGTTGACTTTACACAGTTTGCAACCTACACTCTACTCTACATCTACACATAAGAAAGCAGGAGCAAAATAAGGATCATTCGTTCACCGATCGACATTCTAGCTACAGTTTTATTCAAAAATTCCAAATTCATATCCAATAACAACAGGCATAGATCTTCTCTGATGGATAACGAGGTCATGCATCACCAAAGGAGCGAATGTCTCTCAATACTAAGCGTTCTTTATCTCATAGGGTACATTCTATGACAAACGTCTCAAAGTATACCCTACTCTATAAAAATGTTTCGTATCCTTAACCTATCCTACCCTACCTAATAGGACAGGGTAGGGTAGGGTCGGGTCATCCTGCACACCTCTATTTTAAACCTGGCCAACAATTGTTAGTATTTTATATTGAGGGTACGATAGTTTTAACAGTCTGAAAGTATAATAACTCAGGATAGTTTAGAGTAATTGTGATAAGTGCTTGAAATTTTCGTAGTATTTTTGATAATATAAAACTATATTAGATCGAGTCATTTGCTAAACTTAGGTTATTTATTACTATTTATGTGATTCAAATCATTCGTTCCATAGCATATTTGCTACAATGTAGCGTACAACACAGTTTCTCTGGTTTGTAACAAAGATAGTTAGTGGTTAGTACGTATATATGAGGAGCTCAAGCTACTGGATGATAAAAGCTTTAAGTCAGGCTAACATCTGACTCCAGGGCTACTCAAACTGACAAGTCTACCTTGTCAGTATCCTATATATCACATAAAAACAGATATAAAATAACGACGTTAAATATGGTTATACATAACCATTTACTCGATAAGAATACTTCCACATGATTGAAAATACGAATATCGTACATACGACCTGATTGGAAACTGAATGTACAAGGATCTAAGCTGAAGAACAAAAAACCGGTAAAACTGGATAACTTATTGAAAACAACAAAATAATAGTAGGATAAAACAGTGTGGAAGAGAGAAGTTGAGAAACTAGAAGGTTTTTTAACAAAGTGAACTGTTAGTTTATTACACGATTGTATCTGATGGGGTTCTGCCGTTATAATGTATCACTACTATACCGACCGCTATTCGCTAAAAAATTCCAGTGGAAACTGACTCCACTTACAATCGCAGAAGACATGAATAGTCAATAACTTTGATTGTATGCGTATTTGCTAACAATAATAAAAGTGTGGTTATGAAGTCATCGGAAGACGTATAAAGAGCATAATAAATAATACCAAACAGTAAAAATATTTTTTTGCTGATATATCAATAGATGATTGACAACCATTCAATTTAATCCAATCCAGATAGTATGCCACTCTTGTGTAAATACCAGGGCGATCAACATTCCCACAACCAACGCCATAACTAGTAATACCAACTAATTGCCATTGATTATTAGTGAACAATAGTAAAGGTCCACCGCTATCGCCTTGACACGTATCTAAAATAGAAAAAAAAATCTATCATTTACAACAATGAATGCGTTTAACACTAGCGTACTCAATACAAGAGAAATTCAAATAATTGAGGTCATAAAAAGTACTTATCTACGATTTTTACGTTTGAACGCTTTGGAATTACAACTCCTAATTGCACCATATAAAGTTGTAGAATAATATTTAGATAGAACCAACTACTCAACATCACTGGTTTATTCAAGTAAAAAAAGGATCGTGCCATTTTGGTGACGTCACCAATTCTTACTTTCCGTTTAAATCTCGCTAAGGGTTAATCAGAACTACGTGGGCACCGTTTTTTGGTTGGACAATCGGAATTTAACAGTTTCAAGCCTTAATATCGCTCTTTTCTCAGAACTCTTCCGGCTATATGGACTAATTCAGCATTGTCATTACATAGTTGGATGCGCGCTATACAAGATGTTAATTTGCTTTACGGTATACATCAACACACGTACAAATAAATATGTATATATTTAAACATAATATCATTTCTTCTCTTCTCTTGCAGTTCAATCAGCTAAGAACCAGATACAAATAGATTCGGAGCTTTAATCTTGGTACTATCTTTTCTTGTGTACGGGTGGTCCCTTAGCTAAAAGATGTTATTGTTAACACTGCATCATCAGAAGTTTGATTTGATGTTGAGAAAACGGTGATGTTGTTAGTTGTTGAGAAGTCATTTTATGGTAATGTCCAAAGTTTGTGTTGTGAAGATGTTGACATACGGGTTAAAACAAGCAAACAGCTAAAAAATAGTTAGACAGTATTAAAGCCGAACTTGATACATTTATCAAAAGGTTTGATTTGTATTATTCCGTTAATTATATTCATTTCGAAATCGAAAAATGTAGCTTATTTATCATTTAGATTTTCCCGATTTAAAGATGACTACACAGGATAAATGACTTGTTTATTATAGTTAAATTTATCATCATAATTGGTGGTAATAAGGTCATCGATGTATCGAAATGCATTATTTAAAACTCTACAGTTCAAGTACATTTTCTGAGTATTTTTCTCCATAAACTCAAATTTATATTTATACAAAAGTAAGTTTGCTAGATAAGGATTAGTATCCATGGGTATCCCAATTATCTGTCGAATCCCAATTGTTCCGAAGGTAAAGTAGCTGCTTTCGACTAAAAAGTTAATAATTTCGTTGAAACTCTCTCTACTGATTACCGTGGGACTTTTGTTCCTATTCTTATGAACAGCTAAGGCACTTTGGAATGTAGCAAACCTGATGTTAGCCAATATAACCGTGTTTTGAGACAAATAACTTTTCTTTTCTATCCATTCCATACTCTCAATCAGTAGATTGTGAGGTATACTGGTATAAAGCGTTGAATAATCATAAGTTTGAATATTTCTTGCGGATTTCTTCTTATTTATTTTCCTGATACATTGTAACATTTTATTTGAACTATCGATAGCCCTAAAACGATTGATTATGATTCTACTTTGGATATTTGTGCAATATCTAATTTGTTGTTGATATATTACACACAAGGTGAAACACAATGTTTGAGCCAGTGTTTTGTAGAACAAAAAAAGGATGTACATCGGTTCGATATATTTTAATAGAAACAACGGTGTTTGGCGAGTAACAATTTTATGCATTGTTTTGCGACCAATTGACTGTGGTTTCGAGTGTATACCACCCTAGAATTTTTCTCACTTTACGCTGATTCGATAACCTAATGTAATAATCAAAAGTTATTATCGGAAAAACGTGCGACTTATATATTTAGTTTAGCGTTGATTTGCTACCGTTTTGCTATTGTTTGAATTTTTTCATAAGATTTAATATTTGTCAAATTTAGATAAAACTTTTTAATGAAGATTTTTTTATTGGAAAACCCCTGAATGTTTATGTTCTTTTACATCTTTCAGCGCTACATTATTAATTATTAAGCCTTACTGCAGATTATAATTAAATGTCATTCCTTCACATGTCATGCCGGTGAACTAATCATTTGAATGCTTTTTTTAAATCATCGTTCTTGGTGTACGTTAAATTATAAATGTTATGATCTGAACAATGCAATACTGTATCGTTTAGCAAACAACCGTATCATTGAGCTCGATCCGCTACCGATATCATCGATATAGATCAGAAAAAGTAGTGGCTCCATTACACTATCTTGCAGCACGCCGCTGTTTATCGGTAACATAGTAGATTACAGTGATCATTTTTCGACCTTTCAAATAACTCTTAAACCATTTTAAAAGCGCACCATCTATTCCTTTCGTTTTCAACTTTCGATTTTTTTCTTTAGATGATTGTATAGATGATTATGAACCACTCGTTGAAAAACCTTACTTACTACTGCAAAAGTGTTATTGGACTGTAATTATTTGGCTCATTTATATATATCTGTATAGGAAAGTTGAAAGTATATACCCAGATCGAACTCACACGGCAGTAAACTGCAGTTTACGTCAAAATACGACGAAAGGAATCGTGGAGAAGGAGTACGACTGTCGTAAACTGTGGTTTATGATGAAATACGACAAAATACGATGACAGTATTACGATCATCGTAATACTTCTCCACGAAACACGCCAGATTACAACGAAATACTATCATAAACGTCAAAATACGGCGTCGTAATTTGACGTATTACGACCGTTTACGATCGTCGTAATCATCGTCCTGGGATAGTAAGATATGGATTCTACTAGGATTTCGCTTAAGGTTGTTTAGGATCCTAACAAAATCCTATAGAATCCTGATAAAATCAAGTATACGCGGAAGTCATAGGATTTTCTAAGATTCTATTAGGATCCTAAACAATCTTAAGCGAAATCCTAGTAGGATCCTAGCATTTTAGGATTCTGTTAGGAAGTTATTAGATATATCCTAAATGTTAGGATCTTGTAAGATCCTAGTAGGAAATAGACAAGAAGTGCGTGGGATTTCATCTAGGGTACTTTGTAAACTAGAATTTTCTCTTCAAAGCATTAGTCTAGAAATCCATGTTTTATTACATAAGCCACCGTCTGCGTTTTACTCTGTACTTGTAGAAATTAAAATTTTTAAATTATATTGAATATCATTATGCATTGATTTTTACCGCTTTGCACATATGAATACATGCAATTCATCAGCCAAGTACTACAACAACCATATCGAGGTATCAAAACGCGGGACGTTTTTATTGTTGTAGTGGCAACAGACACATTTGTACCAAAATTCTCAAAAACTTTGAGATTATAAATGCCAAATCATCAAAGAACTCCTTTGATTTACAATTTCCACAAAAAGTTACCCTGTCTGCTAGTAATCAAACTCTGATGCGTCGGAGAAAGGCAAATTAGCTACAATACTCCATAAGTATTACGGGTTTACATGCGATTAGGGTGAGAACAGTAGAGAAAATTAAACTCGATTTCAAATAATAAATCATCGTTTATTTTAGGTCGGCTTTAATTTTCTCTACATTGACGTTCAACTTCCACTGTAACACATACACAGCTTATCACTAAATTATGAAATCTAATCTATTGCTTTTAACTTGGAAAGCCACGAACACAATGAACTCCAATAAATAAGAAAATACTAACCTTTGCCTCCGGTCAAATTTCCTGCACAAAATTGATACTTGGGATTATACAATGTCCCATTACAATAGTAGTTGGATTTTGAAATTGTTCTTAAAGCTACTTGTTGAAGTGTATTTGACATATTAACACTGTGATAAAATAGCACTCCCCACCCAATCGCTACTACATCTAAATCTGGTGGCGGATATTCATTTAAGCTGAGATAACTTGATGAAATGTTTGGTAAACAAATTTTCGACACTTCTGAATCAGTTAAATCTAGGGACGAGGATAATTTTAGAATCGCAATATCATTAAGAAACTGACTGGGATCATATTCTTCATGCATTGTTGCTGTTGAAATGGAACGCACTTGATTTGGTATAGTTAAATAATTACTACCTGCAGCAATGCTAACACGTGAAATTGATGGAAAGGCGGCGACGCAGTGGGCGGCAGTGATTATCAACTTGTCGCTCAAAATTGTTCCACCACAGAAATGGGATCCACCAACTCTAATAGAAACAGCAAAACCCCATGTTGATAGTTTAACCGATTCTCCACCAATGATTCGTGTTAAAGTTGCATTGAACTGCGAGCATCCACATTCTGCATTTGGATTACATCCATAAATTGTTGAACGAACTTGATTAAATGATAGTAGCAAGACTAAAAATAATAACAAAAAAATATTCTTGCTCGGCATGAAGACAGAAATATATCTTTAAATAGTACAATGATTTTATTTAAAAAGGTCATTTACCTTTTTCATATAATAATATTTTTGTCACATACCCATATTAGAAATACAATTTAATTAACATAGGACATGACGAAGAACAGAATGAACGAGTTAGGCACCTTGGTTTCAACACCGTTTTTTTTCTTTTTCTTCTCTTTTCGTGTTTTTCCTTTTATATATATGACTCTACTTGTCATATATATTCTGAAATTAGAAACTTATTTCATCATCTTTAGATAAAAACAAAATAAATCTCCTTTCGCGTAAAAGTGAAAAAACAATAACCTTGATTAAATCTCGTACATTTTCTAGTGGAAAATGTTTTTATTTTCATATTTTTATCAATTCTAAAAAAATTTCCGTAATAGTAGAAATGACTCATTATCTCTGCCAAATATCAACAAAAATAATACATACTGGACAATTAAAACACATGCTACAGGATGGATGACCTTCTTTAGTGTAGTTAACCGCGACTCAAACGATTCTCTAAAACGTCAATGAAGAAAATTGAATTTATGAATGATAATTTTATATGCAATTGATATGAACGTTATTCGGAAAGGAGTATGTAATCTGACTTTTTTAGAGAGCAAATTTTACGTAAATTTGACGGTATTAAACGACGTACAAATTGAGATCTTGTCCACTGGTAGTTATGTCTAAAGTGACCGAACCTGTATAAAAGTACTCTCACGTTCTTTTCACTTTCCATGAGATATGTTTTTTTTCAATCAGCAATCATAGTGCGAAGGTCACATGTCTTGAAAAAAGTTTCTCCTACTTCGTCACATTCTCAACATTTATCCATAAAAAAAGTTTTTTATTCAACAAAAATCAGTTTAGACGAAAATCCGGATGATTAAAAAATTACTACGCTTTGTTCGCCATATAATGTTCTCTGGACTTCATTCTCGATGCATTGGTAATTAAATCTGCATTCATTGCCATGAAGACATCTGCAGATATGGAAAATCGATATTCGGCTATAATTTTATTTTTTGTTGTACCTCGAGATCTCATACATAAATAAACGGGTAGAAATACGATCCACAGACAAGTGAGAGCACATGTTAATCGAGCACACGTATTATTAGCAAATTTTGATATTTTGTTGCTGCCACGTGCGACAATTTTATAGTTTGTCAATGGAAATGTAACTAAAATAAAAGTTACGTGATTCTTATTTGATGCAAGAAAATATACAAATTTATCTTCTTGATAGTTAAAATACTACCTGTTATATGATGTCGATAACCAGTTTGACGAAGTAGTACCTTGATGTTGTCTTTCACATCCTGGAGGCGCCAGCCATCAATTTGTTTTTCCAGAGTAAGTTGTTTGATTTTCTTTGTACTTCGAGTATATTGCTCGAGACAATCACGCAAAGTGATAGAGTCTTCATTATCAGTGCCATTCGCTCGAACAACAACTCGTGACCATTTTGCATTGATGTATGGAGTAATATCAACAGTAAAATTGAAATCGTCAACTTGCTTAGATCGATGAACAGGACGAGTACTAAAATTACCGTTAGCGTCTCGATATTGTTCATATGCAATGTAACTCTGGAAGAAGAAAACCAGATTGAATATTATATAGCTCACGATTTTTCACATGAGTTCTATATCGCTCATACAAGAGCTTTTATTTTTATTCTCAACGCAGAAATATTTTTATACTTACTTCGGTATGGTATCCGTGAACAACGACAACCACATTCGGTTTTTCGGTAAGATATGTCATAAAATAGCGCCACAATTCATCGGGATTGTTGTTTAATAGCGGATCAAGCGATATAATTCCATTTTTATTTCTCTCGATCTCGGCTTCGGACAGCTTAGCAACTGGCAAAACATCACTATAATTCAATATTGCTCCTTCTGGCACAATAGAAATATTGTAATAATTTGGTGGTAAATTGTCGATGTTTTGACTAAGTTGATTGTACGATGGCAAATTGTCAGCAAAAGCACTAAATTCGTTCTCATTCATTGATTCTGAATTAATTTCTGGAGGTCGGCGACTCAGAGAATAAGCTGGAGGTGGCAGTTGAGACAGTGATGACGACTGAAAACCATAACTTATTTTTAATAAATTTAACTAAGAAGATCACGACATCATAGGCAGCTGCATGCATCGTAGTTTTCAACACATGTGCGAGCATGTGCACATCAGATCCTTTGTGGCCACAAATCTAAGTTCCACATTCCTCATATAATTGAAAAAATTATTTTATTTTTCAAAAAAACGTATTTTATGTTGTTTTTCCAGAGTAAAACAGAATAGGCGATATTCTAGGCGACAATTAAGTTTTATCGAACGTTTCAGCGATGCGAATGTAGCTAATACATAGCGTAAAAAGAAATACAACACTGCTACGAACATGATTATTCAAATCATAGTGTAGCTAATACATGTGTCTAGAGGCAAATAGGGTCCGATTTTTGCATATTCGTTTTGTTTTTAAATGAGAGAACTTTTGTGAGAAACTTACATAAAAACTTTGTCAGACCCATATACTTTGATAGGACTAGCATTCCCCGAGAGTTTCGTCGAGGTCGGATGTAAGAGAGCGAAAAAAATTGCTGACATACATAACAGAAGTGCCTAAGGTTGATCATCTACTCTGTAAAAAAAGAAATTCTAATTTACTCTTTTGTACGTTCAAGAAACTGACCTCTGACCTCACAACAACTCTGTCTGCACTTGTTTATCTCAATAATGGCTGATAAAAAAGCTCTTGTATGAGCGATATAGAACTCATGTGAAAAATCGTGAGCTATATAATATTCAATCTGGTTTTCTTCTTCCAGAGTTACAT